AGTAACTCCTCACTTAACGTTGTAGTTATGTTTCTGAAAAATGCAACTTTAAGCAAAACGATGTTAAGCGAATCCAATTTCCCCATAAGAATTAAAGTAAATAGGGGGGATTAGGTTCCAGGGAATTTTTTTTTTTTGGGGGCCAGACAAAAGACATTATATAAATTTTAAACAATTTTAAACAAGCAATTTAATACAGGTATTAAACAGGCTGGCAGCCCCCCTATCAGCTCCCCTACGCCCCCCCCCCGCCTCCCACCCGCCGGCGGACCCTCCGGATCAGCGCCTTCCCCTTGTTGCCCCCGCCCCCTGCCTGCGGCAATGAGCTGTCTTGTGGCGTTCAGGAGGCTGGGAGGAGGAGCGAGGACCTGGCGCGCAGCCTCCCCCCTCCCTCCCCTGCCTCCTGAACGCCGCAAACCAGCTGATTGCCGTGTAGAAGTTCCAGCTCAGACTTCAGTCTAAGCTCTGGGACCCTCCCACTTTGCAGAGTCCTAGAGCCCGGGTACCAGGGCAAGCCCAAATGTCTACACCACAATTAAAGAGCTTTGCAGGCCCAGCGCCGCAAGCCTGAATCAGCTGGCATGGGCAAGCCGTGTGGTTTTAATTGCAGAGTAGACATACGCTTAGTGTTAGCCAGTTGCATCTATGTTCCAGAGCAGCAACCTGACATCCTTTTGCATGTGTAGAGCACCGTTCCTTTGATACTAGGTGCACTCATTCCCCTCCTATTGGCATTCCTCCTTCTGCCTGTGACAAAGCTCTGATGCAAGCACCTCCAGGTCATTGCTTTCTTGCTCCCCCAGTATTTTCAAGGTTTCCCAATAATTGCCTCTCTCTCACCTTTCCACCATAGCTCTTGGTGCACACTCATCATGACTGTGATTCATTTCATTTACTTTTGTCTTCAGTGCATGTCCTGGTTGCATATTCAAGGCTGCTCCTTTGAAGCGCAGGGCCTCCAAGTTGTAGTATTCCTGAATGGAGCTTGAAGGATTATAGGGATGGACAGGTGTCAGGGAAAACCTGAAGAAGAGTGCAGGGAGGGCTGGAGTGAGAATGTTTGAATAAGGAGGGAACTCTAGAGAGGAGCTGCCAGACACATCTAAGGCCACACATGCAAAATTTATCAAACAGCATTGCCCAATAATGAGCAGTGCATGCACATCACTCAAGTGATTTGGGAATGGTGTAGAAAAGGGCAGAAGGTTCCTATCAATTACAACATTAGAACAGCTAATTATCAGCCTATAACTGGACTCAACTGAATTTTTCTAATTATTTCTCTTTCCAAATTCTTAAATTATAATTTGTTATAGAAAGTATATTTTTATACAGAACAAGGAGGAGAATGTGAAATTATGGAAAGGGAAGGAGGAGAGCAGTGAAAGAGAATTTAGTTAATGTGCTAAATTCTGTGGTAATACAGTGCTTAGACATTCCTTGTATAGGATCTCAAGTATTAAAAAATGGACTAAAGAAAGGGATGTTTAATAATCAATGTAATTTCAAGGTTCCCTAGCTTCAGACTGTCATAGTGGTTCAGATAAAAAATAAAATAAAAAGGAATCCAAACTATTTTTGTTTTTAAAAAATCTGCTTTAATTAGAAAGAAGAAAGGAAAAGAAGTGTCTGCCTCTGCACTTTCTGGTTTCAGTCAGGACTGGAAAGAGAAGTATCAAAATAGGGCTCTTGATTTATCTTTTGGTATTTTTGATTACTGGGAAGTACTAGAAAATTAATGAGAGCACTCAGTTTTGAAATCAAAAATATCAAGAATATATAGTGTACAGCTTGCTGAATGCTTATTTGAACAGAATCTCCAATGAAATGTATTACATACTAGTCAGGTAGGATCCAAATTGTTTCACTTTTTAAAAATCTGATAGAGTTGAATCTTTTCATTTTATAGTGTGTCAAAAATGTAAATTGCTCAGGGACAAATTGGCCCCTATATGGGTTATTCCCCTGCAAGGGAGTGGAAACTCCATGAGATATGAGTTGTAAAGTGTGATGTTGGCATACCAGGTGCCAGCTCATTCTAAAGTACCCATGTCTCATTTGAATACTGACAAATACATAGCTGAAATAAGTCTGGCTCACCTGTGTGTTAGTATTGTTAAAATTGGTACTAGAATTATGTGTTTTAACTTTATGGAATGGTTGTAAGTTGCTACATGCATTAATCTCACAACATCTGTATGCCATATTATAAAGTAATATTTGAGTGTTTTCACTGTAAGCTTCTGTAACTAGATATCATTAGACAGGAGAGAGACATTAACTAGTGTAAAGTGCTGATCTCCAGCATAAGGTGTTGACAGGGAAGGCCCATCCACACCAGACAGACTAGAGTGGAACATTAAAGAGGACAAAAGACTTTGTTGTTTACTCACCTCCGCCCATGAAGACAAGTCTTGCAAGTGATTTTCTCCCATCAGCTGAGTTTGTAGCTCAAAGCAGAATGGCAGAAGGGAATAAAACCCCCCAACAAGGAGGGTTTTTATGTTGCTTCAACTCTGCGGGACAAGGATTACTTGGTATAAGAAAAAGATCTCCAGTGCTTAGCCCTAAAGGACATATAGAGCTTGCTTATTATAGAAGCTTCTATTACTTTTTGAAACTTCAGACTGGAACTCATTTATGTGTATATACGTTTACCTGCTTTAAACCTTGTAAATAACTCTTATTTCCTTTTCCTAGTTAATAAATCTTTAGTTAATTTATTATAGAATTGGTTACAAGTGTTAGATCTTACACAAAAGACAAGTTACAACTGACCTGTGGTAAGTGACCAGTCCTTTGGGACTGGGAGCAACCTGAACATTGCTGTGATCTTTGGTGTAAGGGACCATCTATCACAAATGTAGGCTCACCTGGGTGGCAAGAGAGATCAGGATATCCAAGGGGACTGTTTGTGACTCTATGTTAAGGCTGTTAGTGCTTGAGGAGTTTACACTTAATTGGTTGGTGAAATCTAAGTCTACAGAACTCTCAACCAATTTGGGGTTTGTGCCCTGCTTCTTAACAGTCTGCCCTAAGGTTGGCACTCCCCTTCTTGAGCCATTGCAGGACAGCCCAGCACGGAGTTTCTGACTGAGCATGCGATCGGGGATTGTTGTTTGTCCCCATGGAATTGGCAAAGGATTTAGCACCAACAATATGTATCTCTTCTAAGGGTACGTCTACACTTACCTCCAGGTCCGACGGCAGGCAATCGATGTTCTGGGATCGATTTATCGCGTCTTGTCTAGACGCGATAAATCGATCCCGGAAGTGCTCGCCGTCGACACCGGTACTCCAGCTCGGCGAGAGGAGTATGCGGCATCGACGGGGGAGCCTGCCTGCAGCGTCTGGACCCGCGGTAAGTTCGGACTAAGGTACTTCGAGTAGCTGAATTTGCGTACCTTAGTCCGAAGTGGGGGGGGGGTAGTGTGGACCAGGAAAAGATATGCTACCTCTGGATGTCATCTGTATAGAGATCCTGTGTAACCACCTGCCTCCTGTGGGGAGGCAGGTGGTTACTGAGTGCTGGGGGAACTGGTGTAAGTTAATGCTGCCTCTCCACGTTATCTTACACTGAGAATTCCCATGGAGTGTGGGATGCTGCTGCATGTGTTTCACTGTTGTGCATCCTTGGGACGAGAGTCCCTTACACCAGTGTAAATCAGGAGTAACTCCATTGAAGTTGGAGTTATTCTGGTGTAAATGAAAGAAAAAACACTTTTTATACTGGAGGAATGTATAAAATCAATACTTTCTAGCACATTTATTGCACTCAACAAACCCATTGTATAAATAATGGTTAACTTTTCGTCTTGGTAAAAATATTGGATAATATCTTCTTAAATTATGTATAAATTTAAGGTTATAATTCCATTGTTGGTGAGGAACAGGTGCCATTAAGAAGCCTCTAAAGCTTTGCTTAAGAAGTTAGGTTTAGTGACCTTTGAAAGAATTATAGCCACATTACATACAGTTGCGGTTGAATTACTTTATATAAACGAGGGTTGGTAAGAATCCTTTTCTACGCTATTTTTTGTCTTATGGTATCCTGGATACAGATCTATTTTGATCAATATTTAGTATCTTGCTTTTGAAATGGGAACCACAAGCACTTGGCTAACTGGCTTGATACACTATACAGTTTAATCGTGGCTTCAGGATGTAGGGATGGAAAAAACCTTCATTATTACAAGCTATGGTCCATCCTTCAGCCACTGCAGAATTGTGATTATATTTTTTTGTACATTGGCTATGTTTTAATGATGCAGTCTTGTTTTAAATATCCCAAGCAAAGAAGCTTTACATTGCTTCCTTTTCGAAACTTTAATACTATATCAGATCTTTGACCGGAAGTCTTATTTATGAATGATATCTAGCATTCATGTTCTCTTTCCTGATTTCATCCCCTTATTCTGAGTTCTCATGTCAGCCACCCTCCATTCTTCCTATTTGTATCTGTGCTTTTCCTGCACATCTGTGTCCTCTACTGCAAATGACCTGTTGTAACTTACTCCTCGGTGAAGGGGATACAGCGAGGGAGGGGACAGGTATTCTGGCTCTGTCAGTGACAGATCACCGTTGTCCCAAAGGTGGGGCAGATCACTGCGCTGGCCCTTGCTGCACCGACCCCAATGGTTCTCGTACTAGTGCCCGCAAGGCAGCGCATGGCTGGGAGCGGGAGCTGGAGCAGGGCCCTACAGCCCAGCCCTAACAACTTCATTCCCGCACCTGCAACGTCCTTAAAGGCGGGATTCCTTTAAACAGCTGCGGCTGCCCTAGGCAGGAGCAAGGCCCTGGCTGTGTAGCCCGCACTCAGGGGCGTGGTGCGGCGCGGGGCCGGGCACTGGGCCAGGCTGCTCCCGCTGGGCTTGCCCTGTGCCTGAGCAGGGGAGGGGCCGAGGGCGCTGCCCGGGGCAGGGAGCGCGGCTGCCATTGGCCGGCGGCTGCCATCACCTGGCGGCCGGGGATGGGTGTGCCAGCCGGCAGTCTCAGTGCGCGCCCGAGGCAGGGGCAGAGTCCAGCCCGGGGGGAGCAGCAGGTTCCCCAGCCCGGGCAGGCGGCGGCGGCGGGGAGGCGGCTGGGGCGCGCACCATGCCTCTGCGGCTGCGGGGCAAGAAGAAAGGCAAGTCCAAGGAGACCTCCAAGCTGGTGGAGAGCGAGGAGGCGGCTGCGGCCCGCGGGGGAGGCGATGCTGCGGCCGCGCCGCCCCCTCCTGCCCAGCCCGGGGCCCGGCTGCTCTTCCACACGCAACTGGCGCACGGCAGCCCCACCGGCCGCGTCGGGGGCTTCGCCAGCGTGCGGGAGCTGTACGAGCAGATCGGCCAGGCGTTCCGCATCCCCGCCGCCGAGGTAAGCGCAGGGCGCTGCCCCCCTCCATCCGTCCCCTCAGCGCCTGGCTCCGGCACCCAGCCAGCCACAGCAGGGAAGATCGGGGGGAACCGATACTGTTCCCCGTACGGTCTGGTGAGCGCACCGGCCCCGGGCCGGGGGAAGCTGTCCTGGCAAGGCGGCTCCTGCTGGCGGCAGGCGGAAAGGGGCAGCTCCCCGGGGGAGGGGGAGTTATGGGAGTTGGCTTCACAGCGGACTCTTGCTATGCCCTGAGGTAAGGAGCCACTTTCAGCGCATCGCCGCGTGCGCTGGGGATAGGCACAGGAAGGCAGGTTGTTCCGATCCCGGCTCCAGGGAGCCCTGGCTTTCACCATGGCAGTGCCGCTTGCAACAAAAGTTTCTGCTGCTCTCCCACGGGAACAACAGGCGCTCTGCGGGACGCTCAGTGCCACACGGAAGCGGCCTGTGCAAACGGCTTGACACATGATATTGTCACAATGGGACACACAAAGCAGCCTTTGCACAATGTCAAGTATCAGAGGGGTAGCCGTGTTAGTCTGGATCTGTAAAAAGCGACAAAGAGTCCTGTGGCACCTTATAGACATGCGTCTGACGAAGTGGGTATTCACCCATGAAAGCTTATGCTCCAATACGTCTGTTAGCCTTTGCACAACGGAACCAATGGCCACCTTGTTTTAAATTGGCTGTTGTCTCTTGTTTAAATATATTTGAATGAAAGGAACATCAGGGACTAGATATCCAGTCAGTTTAAAAATGAGTTCAGAGTAGCTTCAGGTAATACAGCTGCCCCTCCCCAGCTCCCTGTAAATTGTTGTGGTTTTACAGTCATTTTTCTGTTTTTCAAAACATTTTTCCTTCTCCTGTTGCTGTTTCAAAAGACCCACAGAAACAGAGGAGACAGTGGACTGATTACAGTGCTGTCAAGTACAAATACAATTTGTTCTCTAATCACTTTGGCTGTATCTGCATTGGGGGAAAATGTACCATAGAATCATAGAACTGGAAGGGACCTCGAGAGGTCATCTAGTCCAGTTCCCTGCTCTTATGGCAGGACTAAGTATTATCTAGACCAGGGGTGGGCAAACTTTCTGGCCCGAGGGCCACATCGGGATTGCAAAACTGTATGGAGGGCTAGGTAGGGAAGTCTGTGCCTCCCCAAACAGCCTGGCCCTCACCCCTATCCGCCCCCTCCCATGTCCTGCCCCCTAACTGCCCCCCTCAGAACCCCTGACCCATCCACACCCCCATGCTCCTTGTCTCCTGACCGCCCCCACCTGGGACCCCCCTGCCCCTAACCACCCCCCAGGGACCCCACCCCCTAGCCAACCCCCCCTTCTCCCTGACTACCCCGACCCCTATCCACACCTCTGCCCCCTGACAAGCCCCCTGGGACTCCCACGCCTCTCCAACCCCTGCCCCCATTCCCCGTCCCCTGACCGACCTCCCCCCCCCCAAGAACCTCTGCCCCATCCAACTGCCCCCTGCTCCCTGTCCCCTGACTGCCACCCGGGACCCCCCGCTTCCCGCCCCCTTACCATGCTGGAGGCAGCCACCCTGCTGTGCTGCCCGGCAGGAGCGGCAGGCCAGAGCACGGGAGGCGTGGCATGCTGAGGCTGCAGGGGAGGGGGATAGTAGGGGAGGAGCTGGGGGCTAGCCTCCCCGGACGGGACTCAGGGGCCAGGCAGGACTGTCCCGTGGGCCGAATGTGGCCCGCGGGCCGTAGTTTGCCCACCTCTGATCTAGACCATCCCTAGACCATCCCCTGTTTGTCCAACCTGCTCTTAAAAATCCCCAATGATGGAGATTCCACAACCTCCCTAGGCAATTTATTCCAGCGCTTAACCACTCTGACAGTTAGGAAATTTTTCCTAATGTCCAACCTAAACCTCCCTTGCTGCAATTGCTTCTTGTCCTATCCTCAGAGGTTAAGAACAACAATTTTTCTCCCTCCTCCTTGTAACAACCTTTTATGTACTTGAACTAACAGAACTAACACATTTTAACTAGCATGGTGTTCAACACAATTTAGCACTTGCAAACCAAGGAAAACACATTTATTGGTCTCAGTTTTGTTAACTTGTATAGTAGGGAAGAATAATTCCCTTCAGAGCAGGAATTACTGGGCTACATGATCATAGTGGTTCCTTCTGGCTTAAAAATCAATGGATGTAAGTGACTACAAGATGCAAGGCTATGAAAAATTAGACCTACGATTTTTAACCTTAGCATTCCTTTAACTTCAAAATTATGGGGTAGTGAGGGAAAATTAAGGGAGCAGTGTAGGATGCTCCCTTCCCAGCCAAATAAATAAATAATTAAAAAGGCCAACTATTAAGGCACGTGAATAAAAGCTGTGGTAGGAAGGTCCACCCTTTCCTTAATAGAAACCCTCTTTGATCCCTTTTTGAGTCAAGTTTTAAAACTGATTTGTTTGGATTATGGTTTACTTGTGTTTGTAAATGCATTGTTTTCATCTTAGCATGACAGTGACCCTATGCAACTGTTCCTTGATGTAGCTGCGTACACTTTACAGTTTTAAATGTCAAACTAAAACAAAGTGCAAATATTTTGAAATACTTAAGTTTAATTTTTACATTTAAAAGTTTGGGGGTTTTTGTTTGTTTTATAAAGTATGATTGTGTCTTGTCACTATTGTCTGGTTCCTTTACTTCTAGTATAGTGGAAAAAAGAGTAGATTTTGATCTAGGAGACAGACCTAGCAGTGTTTCCTTTACTAACATTGTAGTAAATTATCACAAAGAGTGGCCATATTGTTGAAAACATACTCTACCCAGTCATTCAGTTTCATTCGGTAATTAAGAACTAACTACATTTTTCATTTTCCCCATGCACCAGTCCTTGTCCTTCCCCATTTCTCTCTGATCCTCTGTTCCCCTTCCCCATTGATTCTCTATTCCCTTCAGTCTCCTACAAAAACATTAGAGATGCAGGGCTGGAAGGGAGCTCTAGAGGTCATCTTGTCCATTCCCTTGCACTGAGGCAGGACCAAATATACCTAGCTAGACCTCTCCTGACAGGTGTTTGTTTAACCTGTTCTCTAATCCAATGATGGGGATTCCACAGCCTCCCTTGGAAATCTATTCCAGGATTTAACTATCCTTATAGTTAGGTATTAGGAAACACTTGCTAACCTAAATCTCCCTTAATGCAGATTACGCCCATTACTTCTTATTTTACCTGCAGTGGACATGGAGAACAATTGATAACCATCCTCTTTATAACAACTCTTAACATAAGACTGTTATTAGGTTCCCGCCTTGGCCATCTTTTCTCAAGACTAACCATGCCCAGTGGTTTTTTAACTTTTTCTCATAGATCAGGTTTTCAAAACCTTTTATCATTTTTGTTGCTGTCCTCTGGACTCTCTCCAATTTATCCACATCTTTGTCAAAGTATGGTGTTCAGAAATGGACACAGTAGTCAGGGCCGGCTCCAGGCACCAGCTTAACAAGCAGGTGCTTGGGGCGGCCAAGGGAGAGGGGCAGCACCTGTGGCAATTCGGGGGCGGCAGGTCCCTCACTCCCTCTAGGAGCGAAGGACCTGCCGCTGAACTGCGGCCGCCGGTCACGGCTTCCCCCCCCCCCCCCCCCCCCCCCCCCCCCCCCGGGCGGCTTTTTTTTTTTTTTTTTTTTTTTTGCTTGGAGCGGCAGAAATGCTGGAGCCGGCCCTGACAGTAGTCCAGCTGAGGCCTCACCAGTGCCAACTGCAATGGATCAATTTACTTCCTGTCTCTTACATACAACACTCCTGTAAATACACTCCAGAACGATGTTAACCTTTTTCACAGCTGCATCATGTTGCTGGCTCATTTTCAGTTTGTGATTTACTATAGCCCCACATCCTTTTCAGCTGTACTACTCCCTATCTAGTTGTTCCCCATATTGTATCTGTGCATTTGATTTTTTCCTTTCTAAGTGTAGTACAGTAGAACCTCAGAGTTATGAACTGACCAGTTCTATACAGCGGTGGGTGACCAAAATTGGATTCCAGCAGAGGACTAACCAGTGCTGAGTAGAGTGGTACTATCACCTCCTGTGACTTGCATGCTATGCCTCTGTTAATGCAACCCAAAATTATATTTGCTTTTTCTGCAACAGCATTGCAATGTTGACTTGTGTTGAGGTTGTGATCCACCACAACTCCCAGATCCTTCTCAGCTGTGCTGCTGCCAAGCCAATTATCCCCCATTCTGTATTTGTGCATCTGATTTTTCTTCCCTAAGTGTAGCACCTTACCTTTATCTTTGTTGAATTTCATTTTGTTGTCTATAGCCCAGTTCTCCAATTTAGCAAGATCCCTTTTAATTTTAGCTCTATCCCAAAGTGTTTGCTATTCCCTCCCTCCACCCTCCAGTTTTGTGTCTTTGCAAATTTAATTAGTATGCTCTCTATTCCTACATCCAGGCCATTAATAAAGATATTAAATAATACTGGACCCAGAACACATCCTTGTGTCACCACACTTGAGACCTCCTTCCAGTCTGACATAATTCCATTAGTAGTTTGTTTGCGGTTGTTTAACCAATTATGTATCCACTTAATGGTCGTTCTACCGAGCCTGCATTTCTCCAGCTTACTTATGAGAATGTCATGTGGGACTGTGTCAAAAGTCTTGCTAAAGTCCAGGTATATTATGTCCACCATATTCCCCCATCCACCAAACCAGTTACCTTGTCAAAGAAGGAAATCAAGCTCATTTGGCATGATTTGTTCTTAGTAAATCCATGCTGGCTGCTAGTGATCACCCTTTCATCCTCCAATATTTGCAAATTGAATGTTTTAAGTTTATACATTGCTCTAGTAGCTTCCTAGGTATCAAGGTCAGGCTGACTGGTCAATCGTTCCCTGGCTCCTCCTTTTACCCTTTTAAAAGATGTGTTAGCCCTTCTCCAGTCTTCTGGGACCTCTCCTGTCATCCATGAGTTTGCAAATATTATTGCCAGTGGCTCTGAGATTTCTTCAGATAATTCCTTCATCACC